CTCCTCAGAAATCAAAAATGCAGCACAAGCTGTTAAAATAGACCAAGAGAGAACAGCTTTATTCTAGACGTAGTTTCTTACTCATGAGCGTTCGTCCGCAGCTCTCCCTGGTCTGAGGAACAGCTCCTTCATCCCCACTGGACTGGAAAGGCGTCACCTTCACCCCCCCGTCTGGAGTGCTGCGGTGACAGCCGAGTGCCCGTCGTACCCTTCTGGGGGTTCCAGGTCTGCTGGGAAGAAGCTGCAACCACTCGCGGGCTCTGAGGAACGGCCTGCGGAGAAGAGAGCTGCCCTCAGTCCGTGTACATCCATGTTCCCCCTCCCCAGCTGCTGCCCATGCACAGCTCCCCAGCATCCAGCAGGAACGTCTCGGGAAATACTTAGGGCACAATATTTTACAGGTTCATGTTTTCATGCCTGAAAACCACTGTTCGAGTCTGGTGCTCTCACCCCTCATCACCTATGTTTGTGTTCCAAAATCTCGAGGCTTTGCTCCCTTCAGCATCCTTCTCCACCCACTCAGCCGGTGCTGAAAATACGGAGCAGCTCTCAGAAATCCCCACAGGCGGAGCAAAACATGCTGTGGGAACAGCACAAACGGGATGGAGCCAAGCCCAACCACGCCAGGGGTGCCCGAGGCTGAGCTGCAGCCAGTCCAGGGGAGCAGCACCCCATTCCCTGCCTGGTGACCCCCAGGAGCGCGTGTGCTAGGGCTCGTCTGGGTGTTAGAGGGCACCAGGCCACCATATCCAGGATGAAGTCACCTCTGTTTGTGCTTGGAGCCCAGGTACACGGCTCCCCTCGCTCTGAAAACCAGCTGACCTGCAGCTCGCTTCCGAACACATCCCTGGCTCCGCATCAGCCAGAGAGGAACAGTGGGAAAACCAGCAGCAGCTTCATACAGCCAAGCTCCTGCACAGACCTACCTTCCAACTCTGATCTTGAAGCCTTTCAGCTCGTCCTGAACCTTCCGGTCCCGTCTACGCTCCACTACGTCCACGATCTCCGGGCCCGTTTCACCGTTGGCAGAGGGTGTAGCGGCACGCGCTTCCACCACAACCGCAGCAGCAGCAGCGAGCGTCCTGCGCCCTTGCAGGGCTTCCGCGAGGCCTAACAAACCTTCTCCAGCGCTCAGTGCCCAGCACGAGCTCCGCAGCTCACGGTACAGAGCAGTTTCAGGTGCTGCTTTCCCCTGGGCAGTACCAGACCGGTATCTCTAAGCACTTAAATTGCCTGTTCTGGAAAAAAATTCCAGACCCGTGATTTTGAGAGCCCCTGTAAGAAGGTTTCTCGCAGAAGGGCTCAGACACCCCCCCAGTTTTCCACCTGTCCATACCCAAATTGGATCCATCCAACCAGCATTGCTAACGTTTTAACTCCAGTGCAATGCTCTCCCAAGTATTTTCCAGTAATATGGGAACCTGCCTG